AGATGAAAACAATTTTCTCTTTCTTGCATTTGGTCGTGTATGTCTGGAGTTTTCAACTACCTGCAATACTCGCTGGTAGCGTTCTTCCTTAACAGCTGTTCCCAGAAAATCGTAACCAAGCTTGACACCTCTCTCTGCAGCATCGTTTACCACACTGATGCTATTTACAATGAGCTTAGCTTTTTTGTACCCATCATCACTCTCCCAATCAGTTAGAGATTTGCAAAGGAAATCTGTTTTTATCTTCATTATTTTGAAAAAAGACCAAGAATCTATCCCCACATATCTAGATAGGTCTTCTGTTACCTTTGTTGGCATGATAGGAAATGTTGGCTTTCCAAACCCTGTACCGTGCCTCTTTGTACATAGACCACCTTCTCCAATCTTCAACATCTTGGTCACCATCTTCTCTTTGATGTCAACATTTATTGTGTTGCTGAAAAGAGCCAATGGCACAAGTTCCTCTGTAAGATACCACATATGGTTACCAAAACACTTGATAGCTGCCACAGCAATCACATCATCTATTTCCTTATAGTTGATGAGAGAATTGATGAGTAGTTGATCATTTTTTGGCGCAGTCAAGGGTACAGGTGCTGTGAGCCACCAGGGGATATAACAGAAAACTACAAACTGAACAAAACGACGTATCTTCTGGAGCTGACAGCTTGCAAATATAGCACCTTTTGGAAGTTCACCCAAAATTTTGGTACCCAATAGATCCGTTTTAATGGCATAGAGAAGTTTTGCCATCCAACGAGCTTTGTGTAATGCACCAGGTCTGCTGAATGAAAAGCCTTCTAATGCTTCTACCTCATTTCCTTCACTCAGGTAAAGAAGGGCTAAAGAAACAAGTTCCTTGTAGTCTCCCCTGCTAAACAGCTGCTTCAGGTAGTTCTTGCACAGTTCTATAACTTCACTTTTTCTTTCCAATAAATCAACAGGGAGTTCTGGAAAGTGAAGGTCTTTATTTTGGTGTGTAATGGATGCAAAATTCTCTTTAAATCTTTTAAATAGGAGAATTTCTGGACTTTTTGACACTTCAATTTTCAGGGCATCCCACACATGGGTCAGAAGGATTTCACCAACATGATGACGACATGCATACCATAAGAGGGGACGATTGAGTCTATTTTGTAGTGCCACACATGCAGCAGTTTTGCACCCTGTATTTGAGCTGGTAGTGTCGAAAACCATACCTGCCACACACTCAGCACAATTCCATTCCTCTATTAATTCGATGCTAACTTCTGAAATCAAATCCCCAGTCTTTTCTGTAGACTTGTGAGGAATTGTGGGTACTCCTAGCAGCTTTGTCCCACCAACGCCTGATAAAAGAACTGGTAATCTTTCTTGTTGACTAGCACCATCCAAGGTAGCCATCAATTTGCCATCCCAGTGGAGGTTTGCAATGGATGGTGGAGTCCAATTTTCTTTAATTTTATCTGCAATTGTCTTGACAATTTCAACTCTATATCTTTGTGTTGTTGCATAGCTAAGGCTAAGTTTAGATGGATCTCCTTCAACTGCTGTGACAATGTCGTGCATAACAGAAGATATTGCAGAAGATGAAATGTTGTTTCTAACAAGAGATTGAACAACCTTAGGTGATTTTAGTATGTTTGGAGGAATAAAAACTGTCACACCAGTTTTGACACATCTCTTGTGGGATCTTTTAGCACAAGAATATAGAGGATCAGGTACTTCTTTTGCCTCTTCTTCATCGTCACTATCGCTCAATGTGGCATTTGAACATGAAGTATCCATCTTACTTTCTTTTTGAATTGCAATCCTCTTTAATTCCTGTTCTTTCCTTTCCTTAACTTTTCTTTCAGTTTCACTTAATTTTACATCAATACCAGACATCGTAGCCAGCCTGTCTGTCATCATAGACTGTAGGAACTTTTTATCCTCTTCGTTGCATAGGTTGTCCATAGCATTCCATGGCCAGAACTTCATAGTTGTTTGTAGCCGGCTTTTGAACTCATCTACTCTTTCTTTTGGCTTTCCTGAAGTCCGGTCTTTTGGTTGAATTTTAATTATTTTCTTCATGCCATCAAAAAGTTTTTCCACCTCTTCAGCCATTTTATGATCAAGAAGAGTAGGGATTCTCGCACGATTATAAAAGTGTTTTACAGTTTCAACAGTTTTATTGGATGCTTCACGTTTACTACTAGCTGTTTGATGATGGGCCAAGAAGCAAAGCAGGACCTGATGTCATGCTGTAGGTAATCGACTGCCTGTTATTGTCTTGTCATCATCTGTTGGCATAGTACCCAGAAGGAAGAATCGCGTACCCTTGTTGTGGGAAGATTCTTTAGCCATTGTAATCTTGAAAGGCAAAAAATATTTAACTAAATAGTCAAAAACCTTTAATGGGCACTTTAGTGATCTAATGGTTTCCGTTTAGGAAACCGAAACGTTAGACAAATTAAAGTATTTTACCTTTTTGTTAATCTGGAAGAACAAATAAAACATAATGTTTCAACCTGGATTCAAACCCTTCAATGAAGACTATTGTTGATGGAACAAAGATTAGAATTGTCATCTTTGTTTTGTACTAGACTAACTAGAGGAATTGAGGTCTTTAAACATGGAATTACATGAAGTACTTAGTTCATTATTTGCAACCAAAACAAGACATGTAAAAATGTATACCAAATTATGAACATGCTAACTTTTTATACCAATAGTCCAAAACTGTAATATGAAAACAACCTAAAAAAATACGTTTTAGAGGATAACTTGTAAAATAAAGCTTTTAGACCTATAGAATATTAACATGTGACATATAAACTTGGGATTTCTGCATATTTTGATGCAGAAATCAAGTCTCTATGGTCTTCTTAAGTTAAGATATATATATTAAAGGGTCACCTGCTAACCCTAAAATTTTTCCAATCAATTCTAAACTTCACAGTTTTGTTACTTAGAATGAACCTCACCACTAAAAAAAGGTAGAGTTGATTGCATTATCTTTTGAAAATCATGGGGCATATGATGCACCCTAATATATATATATATATATATATATATATATATATATATATATATATATATATATATATATATATATATATATATATATATATATGTATATACATATATATATATATATATATATATATATATATATATATATATATATATATATATATATATATATATATATATATATATATATATATATATATATATAGGCATATATATGCATATATACATATATATATATATATATATATATATATATATATATATATATATATATATATATATAATAATAATAATAATAATATTTCAATTATATAGTGTAAAAAGAGTGCTCAACATCAAGAATTTAACAGAGCAAAATAGTATTTTAACTTAAAATTGAATCACAACTCTGAGTTTCACGCTGAGTGCGATCATCAGTGAACCGTCACTTGTAACACCGTCACCTGATGATCGCACTCAGCGTGAAACTCAGAGTTGTGACTCAATTTTAAGTTAAAATACTATATATATATATATATATATATATATATATATATATATATATATATATATATATATATATATATATATATATATATATATATATATATATATATATATATATATATATATATATATATATATACCGGGTGGCCCAAAAAAAAGTACTCCTGTTTGATTCGTAATAACATCTAAACAAGTATAGCTTTAAAAGAGAAATAACTTGCATCAAATAGAGGAAGGACTAACTTAGACTTTGATATATTACAGTTGTATTTCACTTAAAAATTCACGGAGATATTAATCTTTAAATTCGGGAGGATATTTCTGGATGTGTCTGAAATATGCAAAAAATCGGCGTATCAAATATTAATCAAGATTTGCCCGACTGAAACATGCACTATTACCAGTAAATAAATGACACTTGACAAATTGTTTATTATGAAACAAAGTATTATTATATCTACAAAATACAAGCAAGATTCATTCGTCCGAAATTCGCGTGTGTTCCTAGCACGAATACGTTTCCTTATTTCATGAGACCACTGTATCGCGAAGGATCGTCATTGGATCGTTCGTAGTTCTGAATTAGGGCATGCTGTCACAACGGAATTGTGAAGCTCTTCTAACTTCTGCAACGTTCTGAAATCTTGTTAAGAACACCCAAACTCTTTTGCCGTTTCTTAATCTTGGCAAGTTCATGGAGTAAACTGAGAATTATATGAAACACAATCAAACCATACAACCCCATAAGACATAACAATTAAGCAACTCCCCAGAGACATGCAACATTTTTGGAACAAAACGTAACAAAATAGTAGCGTTGATACGGTGATGTGTATTTGCAAAAAGCAATATTATTTCCTTCAATAAAGAATAATATTCATCCTGCTCTAACCGAGAAATAATCTACTCAGTCTGTTTGAACCCATTAAAAACATAAAAAATTAGGCTATTTAAGAATACGAAAAATTTAAGCGCCTGCCTTCCATGGTCAGTCTTTCATGTACATTTAAGTTTGCAAAGACCTAATATTAAAAACTTGCATAATTTCGAACGTTCATATTTCAGGAAACAATGAGCTAAGACTTACATGTAAGATGTCTAAATCTACGCCATATCCCTTACAAACCTTAACGATAATTCGCTGAAATACAAGTTAGCTTAATATGTCATTAAGCAAACAAACGCTGGAGTTAATATTTGATATGCCGATTTTCGCTAATTTTAGACACATTCCAAAATATGCTCCCCATTTTTAACATTAATATATCCGTGAATTTTTAAGTTAAATACAACTGTAATATATCAAAATCTAAGTTAGTTCTTCCTCTATTTAATGCAAGTTATTTCTCTTTAAAAACTTTACTTGTTTAGAAGTTATTACGAATCAAACAGGAGTACTTTTTTTGGGCCACCCGGTATA